TGGAATCCCCTCTCTTTGACCATGCAATACAACCCTCTAGACCGAAAATTTCATTCACTCTCTCTCCCATTTCAGCCTAGCTGGGCAGCTTCTCGGCGTCAAAGGCCGGACAGCCTAGTGTGCACCACAGAGGTCTCTGCCAGCTGCTTGGGAGAGCTCATATATCCCGGCCCAAGCACCCCAGGGGACTGGTGGTAGGAAATGAAATGCATGTTGTTTTGCTGTGCCTTTTTAAAAGGCCCATTGTCATTTAAGGTTTTTCTGTGCACTTAAGGTTCCCTATAAGGAGTCCTTAAGTGCACAGAGCTGCCTTAAATGCACAATGATGTCTTGGCCCCTCCCCTGACCCTCTTGGTTGTTTGGCTGGTGCAGAGGCCCCACCCGGAGTCCCTTTGACCATGCGAAACAACCCCTCTAGACTGAAAAAAATTTCATTCAATCTCTACCCCATTTCAGCCTAGCTGGGCTGCTTCCTCGGCGATCAAAGCGGACAGTCGAGTGCACTACAGAGGTTCTGCTAGCTGCCCGGGAGAGCTTCATCCAGCCCCAAGCACCCAGGGGACTGGTAGGAAAACTAGTGCCATGTTGTTTTGCTATTGCATTTTAAAACCACCATTGTGCTTTACAGGTTTTCACCCTGGGGTTCCTATAGCAGTCCTTAAGTGCACAGAAAACCTTAAATGCACATGATCAATGCCTTGGCCTTCCATGGACCCTCTTGGCTGTTTTGGCTGGTGCAGAGGCCCCACCTGGATCCCTTTGACCATGTACAACCCCCTCTAGACTGAAAAAAATTCCATTCACTCTCTCCTATTTCAGCCAAGCTGGGCAGCTTCCCCTGCCAGCGTCAAGGTAGGACAGTCAGTGTGTGCACTACAGAGGTCTCTGCCAGCTGCCCAGAGGGGTCTACCATCCAGCCCCAAGCACCCCAGGGGACTGGTAGGAAATGAAAATGCTGTTTTGCTGTGCCTTTTTATTTTTAAAAGCGTCGTAAAGAGCCTTCAGTGCTGACTGAATCAAATGACAGCAGTGATTGATGATTATGTTGTTAAAATGTGCATTCATCCACTAATTAAAACTAACCTGATATTTTTCAATGTGTAGCTGCTTCTTTTTAACCTGATTGCTTCTATGCAGAATGTGTGCAGAGACATTTTCAAATGGGTTACATTTTGAATGCTTAAACTGGGGTCGCGCTTTTCACACTCCTGTATTACTCCTCTAAGTTTTACCATGACCCTGAGGGCGAAAATGGAGAGAATGTAGTGCCTTGTTTAAATGCACTGATTTGTCTGTGCTATTTTATTCAGGGTGACTTGTGACAGCTTAAATGAAAGATCCAGACATTTTTACTTTACTGCCATTTTGTTTTTGTCCTCAATCTGCATTACATGTTATTGACTCCAGCCTTTCATGATTTGACCCCCAAGTTCAAGGCTGTTTAGTGTATTTCAGCTCAAGCAAATTCGGTGACCGTTGTTGACAGTGGATACAGCAAAACTGAAATACTCGATCCGAACCGATATTTTGATGGGTAAGTGAGAAGTAATAGGTTGGTCAGCATGCCACAGGACAGCCTAGGACAGATATTAATTATGGTGCTCTGGCCATGGCATGTCACCGTAGATAGTAAAGTGGTCTGAGGCTATATGTACTTACATGTATTGGCTGTTAACAGCCTGGTTGTTTTAATGTTGCTTTGGAAGTTAATGGGAAAACATTTGATTTTGTGCAACATGTAAAGGTGAAGGCACATTTAGTAATTCATACATTACATGTATATGCTTTCCTATTTATGTTTCACCATGGATACAAGTTGGCATTGTTATAGAGACTAATTTAAGGGAGTGAAGCTAGGGCTGCTTGAGTTGAATGGATTGTTTTAGTGGCATTGATTTGAATGTAGCCTCGATTTGTGGTCTAATAGTGACAAGAGCCCACATGGTAATGGTTACCTGGCTTCTAAATTTGTTGAAACCGATGAATTGACAACAAATTAGGATAAAGTCACCACTGACACAATTTGGGTGTCTGTGTGTAAAGTCATATGATATGAGTATTGTGAGTATGAAATGTGTTCACTGCTGATGGCACAATATGTCACAAAACCCTCTTATCTAAGTAAACAGTGTTGCATATGATCCATTCTTTCTGTTACACCCTTTTTGTATATGAATAAACTTTTTTCTCTCATGACTTTCAAACAATTATTTAGTTTCTCCATGGCTGTTATGGTCTTTATGATTGAACATTTAATATGATCTTGACACTATTTTCAGCTTGGAGAATGACTCTGGGGAGGTGTATCTTTGCACATACAGCAGAATCAGAAGCCTTCACATCCAATGTTGTGTTTCAACAAGTCGGTCTGATGTTGGCAGTGTGTGCACCCTCCTTTAACCTTGATATCCTCTACCACCTTGAACAAGTTGTGGTACTTGAACATGTAGGTACATACAGTACATTTAAGTGCCCCAGTCCAGTTAAGGCTGTATCTCAAATTTCATAACTCTCTCAACTCTCAGCCATTAGATATTTCTGATGAATAATAATCACTTTTGGGCAGTGGGTAACTAATAAACTTCAGTTATCTGGATTTTTTTCATTTTGTTTTCTTCATATAGAAATTGGCAAGTCTAGCATTCTCAAAACAGCAAACAGTGAATTTTTTTTATTTCATGGAAGTATTTCAGAAGTCTTAGCTTGATGAATTGATAGACTCATGTAATTTCGTTTCATGCTGTGGTCTCAAAGAGCTTTCATCTGTTTCAATTTCAATTTCCTGGCTTTAACAGGCAGTAGGGTTCTTTGGTCAGTGTTTCACATTGCTAGGCATATTCCAACCCCTTACTTTATACTTTCTGGCAAAATTCATTATTCAGCCTTACATATGTCAGGACTTTAAAGCTGTTTAATGTGACCCTGGCCAATTTCTGGCCTGAATTCTGTGCTTTCTAACTTTGAACAATGTTTCTGATTCCTCTCCACTTAGATCACCAGCCTACATCAAAAATGCTTACACAAATGACTTTGGGGATACATTAAAGATCAGACACTGGTGTTAGCCCTCTCATAAATGGTTTATCAAACCTGGACAGTTGTTAGTTTACAATATAAGCAATGCAGGAGTGTGTGTTGAAACAGTTTTAAACTATCTCAATCACATCAGGTCATGAATATCAAAACCATATTCTATTAATGTAGCAGACTCTGCTATGATTTGATGATGTCAGCAGAGGAAGGCAAACAACTGACCATTAATGAACAGGAGGTTGCATAGTTACTAGTTTTGAGGTTTAAAGATTTTCTGCTGTCATTCTAAATATGATGTTACGTGAAATTATCCCATGACACTCTTTTATGTGACAAATGAAATAAAGCTCCATGGTATCTGGTATGATTATAAAACATTCTTTATTAATGCAGAAATACATTTTGCAAAACATTAATGAAATAGACATAATTTATCTCTTACAAGTTTTTCAGTGTAACAAATCTCTCTGTATCTTGTGCCATATAGACATATTGGACAGGAAAAGTATTGAAGCTTCATCCATTCTTTTAAAAATTCAAGTGACATGTACACATATACAGGGCATGGGGTAGCCCACTGGTTTAAGTTTGCTTCCCAGGTCCATTCCCCACATGGATGAAGCCTATATATGGTGTCCCCTGCCGTGGATATTGCTGGAATATTGCTAAATGCTGCATAAAACTAAATTCACTCTCTCACTCACATGTACACATACAGTACATAAACACAGATTTGCCTAGTGCAGATGTCTCCATTTTTTCAACATTAAGACCTTTCTGTATGTTTAAGGGCAGCTGCAGAAGGGTCATGGGCACATATAAACATCACATAGGAAGACAAGGCATTATTGACTCATGTAGTTTAGTGATATTTCATGCAACATGTAAGTGCATGTAAGTATCCATTTCATATTTCATATTTATAATAACCTGAAGATTACAGCAAAAATATATCAAAAGGAAACACCAGCTGTTTATCACCTAAATAATTTTCTTTGCAAACTGCTTTGGAGATCACCACATGTGAAATATTATTTAGTTGCCATGTCATTTACTCTGTTCATTAGTTAGAGCATGTAAAACACATTTTGGACCAAAGGCCATTTTGGATGTATTTGACTAGGTGCGGTGAAAGTCTGACAATATAATTATGTTCACAGCTGAGTTGGCTAGATCACTGACTTTTGTATGTTGGCGATTTGGTGGAGAGAGTCGGTTCAAATCCTGGATGGGACTGAACCCCAAACATGTCTAGAATGTGTATTTTACTGAGAAAGTGTAATCTTGCATATAACATGGTTTCATGTGTACAACTTGTATAAATGTGATATGTTTTGACAATTATTATGTATATTGAAGAAAAGATTTAATGGATTTGAAGGACTATATATGGATAATAAATGTTTTTTCCATTTTAAAAAGGCTTTATAATTATTATGATTACCATTAATACATCACTGAGATGTACTACCACTTCAACAAGTAATCCATCCTAACAACAGTACGTACAGAACCTAGCCTTTGTTTCTTAGTTAGAAGATAATTGTTAGTCATGTTAGTGTCTCATTTGCCCTAATTCATAATCAGCCACATATTAAGTATAGGCAGCAGCTGAACTATTTGGGTGCGATTACATCTTGATATGGTATGTTAATAATGGTGTGCATTAATATAGTGTTCAGTTACTGTTTATGTGTTTCATATGTGTTTATTACGTTATAATCTATTGTGCAGTGATATGTTCATTGTACCATACCGTCAGTATGTTTACCCAAATAAACTCTACAGAGTAATCTCTTAATGCTGATGAGGCAAACCACATAAAAATATGTTTTACCTCAGTTTGGTTTGTCTTATTCTTTTCATTTTTTTTTGTGGAATAACACTCCATATAGAATAAAAGAGGTCCTTGTGTGTACCTTTTGTATTGTATACATTTGTTAATAACTTTTGTAAGATAACTCAATAAATTATATAACATTATTAACATTAATCACATAATGTGAGATAAAATAGAAACAAACATATGAGGTACAATTGAACCTAATGATGGATTTTGATGCATTTCAGGCTCAACCTTCAAGAAATAGAAGCATTGGTGTTCTTTCAAATGACATCACGACTGCCTTAGATTAAAACTTGAAGGAGGTGACATTCCCCAGAAAAGTAAGATTGTCAAGTTTTATCATTTTTGTAAGAAAATGAACAAGTTTGATTTACCTTTGAAAGAAATCCACAACCCTGTCCATGGAAAATACAGACTGGAAATTATTGATGGGGACAGGAAAATAGTGATTCCTCAGTCTGGACTTCATAATGTCATATCCACAAATATACACAGCGTTTGTTGGGTTCAGGATCCTAGAAATTCCGAAAATATTAGAACATTGATAAACCCGGTATTATGCTGGAAATTCTTTGGAATCCGTTACAGGAGTTTATTGATAAGCAGGGTGACAGGCAATTGTTATCCCAAATTTCCCTAATGAAGCAAATTTGAAACCTGATATAGAAAACACCAGTGGGGCAACATACCATTGACTTTGTGGATCAACTACATAGGATCTACCTTGAGTATGGATTGGGAAATCCAAGAATACCACAATGTGACCAAGGCTCTGAGTTTAAGTGAGCAGTCAACCAATTATTAGTGGTGGTCTGATTAATTGAAATAATCGAAGATTGGTCGCAGTGACTAAATGACCAAGCAATCGAAAATGTTTTCTCATAATCAAACACAAGCAGTTTTGGAACACTTGTTTGCATTAACAATATTTTTCACAAGATTGGTTTGTCTGAGTCATTTTATTTACATTTCATAAGCACTACAAGCTTGTTCCAAGTCATGATTGAATTTATCTTAAAGACTCCTGGAAATTTATGTTCCCCACATACTAGCCATCCTTTAAATATGTGAAGTATGAAAATGCATTTTGTGCAATTTACCCCAAAACCCAAAGAACTACATGGGTTTTTTTTGTAAATTATTTTGTGCATTAACAAAGGTAACAGGAACATTTGATAAATGATCCTAACCAATTATTTTCGATGATTGATCGGTTGTAATGGACCAATGATCAATTTTAACCAATTCCCAACACTACTAATTATGCATTGAAATGGGGAACAATAATTGTCATAAGTCTTAACTCACCATCCCTAATATCAGGGAAGAGTAGGAGATAAATAACAAATAATATATATGGGATCTGAAATATGATATGTAATCTATAAAGGTCATGTCCATGGTTAAGGTCACAGATGTAAAGGCATCTTCCTGATGCTTGATATGAAGGAAATTATTGTTGGTGTAAGTTGGAACATATCAACGTTAGGGCAGAGCCACAAACACAGAACAGATGTATTGGACTTGCAGGTTCCCACTCAGTGGTCAGGCAATAAAGGCTCAGCTTTTTTGTGAACAGTTGGTACCACCACAAACTGGTAGTAATTCATGAACACTGTATGCCATAGTCACAATCAGACAATTGACCCCACTTTTGTTAGGATTATAGAGATATTTTGCTAGTTTCATTTGCACATGCATGGCTGAAGATGTATTTGTTATTTTTCCATTAAGTGAATCAATGTATTTGACAGTTCACATCTTTCTGTCATGACACCTTAACAGGTATGCTCCTTTTTGGCAATGTTATATACTGTAGTTAGACTTTCTGTTTTGATGTTACATTTTAACCTCAATTGTCAAATAAGGCATTTTAAGTTAAATCTCAACATCTGTGTCTATTTTGTGCATCCCTTCATGGTTACTCAGAAAACATCAACACATGGATGCAGTTATTATTTATATTATGGCATTAAAAACAAATGTTTGTGTGTATAAATAACTTCATATGTTTACAGGTTGTTCACCATACCATCCCATGTTGGGCTTGCCCCCCAGTCCAGATCAACAGTTTGTTGAGGAAAAGCTTGGAATTCAGTTGATGCCTATTCTTGCTGTGAAGAGGAGCAATCTGAACTGTAATGCAGGGGCACTGTTGAATTTTTAGATTTAGCATTTAATTAGGCAAGTGGGCACATCTGTTATCCCATGTCATACAACAGTGCTGTATCTATATAGGGTGAAAATAGATCCCCAGGAAAAAAAAGAATCCTATGTTGAGTCAGGTGACCAGGCGGTAGTCAGTCTTGGTGACCTAGTTTATAGTACAGCTGGAGTAGTCTGGGATGTTAATTATAATGCAGAGGGCAATTAAAAGAAAGGTACAGCATCATACAAACATTAAAGGACTGATGAATGCTACATTATTATGATTATTATTATTATGAATGTATGACTTCAGTCTTTGCTGTCAAATGCAAAACTCAGTCACTGAAAAGTACCAGGGTACCATTTCTAATTCATGGCATTACAAGATATTGAAAGCTTTAAGAGTAGGGAGGTGAGTGAAAGATTTCGGTGTAGTCATTATTATTATGTAACTTGTGCTCATATGCTTTAGGATTAATGGTATGTTCTCTTATGTTTACACTTCTGGTGATTTTATGCACCATTGAAAGGGAAAAGGATGTAGATTTCTGTGCCCTCTTGTTACTGTTTTCACAAAAGCTATGATTTAAAATCAGTTTGACAAAGTGTATTCATATTGTATCTTAACATTCCCATGTTTTTATGTATTTTTTATTTGTTCCTATAGTCAAAGGTATACAGTAACAACAAACACACAGAAAAGGTGTAAAGATGTAATTATAATTTGTTGCTGAATATTGGCATGAGTGAATTCCATTTAAGACTTAAGACTGAATTTATCAATTTTCATTGTTTCCCTTGAAAATAAAGTTTTGAGCGGAAAATATCTCTTTTGATGCCATTTTATATTTAATGAATTTTGGAATTGATTTTTAAATTTACATAAATTGATATGTTTTTTGCAGAGATAATGATTTGATTTAGTAATACATCATTATGTTATGTACGAAACCAAATCAAATATTTGTAATGTTTATTTTCATGGTAAATAGTTATTAATTGATTTCGAGATCATTCCAGAATTTTATGGTTTAACAACAGTCCTAATAAGCACAACAATTGCTCTCAGAAACATCATTGCAAACTAACGGTAGACAAATCATTGTCAGTCAGGTTCATTTTGAATAATTATATTTTAGTATAAATAACTATTTGCAGAAATGTGTATTGAAAATTCACAATCATTGAATATCATTTCCCATTTAGTACAAATCTCAAGTTTGTCATTTTTAGAAATACACTTGTCATTAAGTAATCTTGAACCCTTTGAGGGTTTTAATATATATTTTATAACTTATCCTATCTCACGGTATGCACCATCTCTCTCTTCTACGACCATGTGTGGAAACGTGCTGTCAGCTAAGTTGAGTCAAATCTAACTGGCCTCTGACCCGCCCTGACCTCTGCCTTCACCCTGACACTCTCTATCTCATCTCGCTCTCTCTCTCTCATCTCTCTCATCTCTCTCATCTCTCTCTCTCTCATCTCTCTCTCTCATCTCATCTCTCTCTCTCTATCATCTCTCTATATCTCATCTCTCTCTCCATCTCTCTCTCTCTATCATCTCTCTCTCTCTCATCTCATCTCTCTCTCTATCATCTGTCTCTCTCTCTCTCTCTCTCTCTCTCTTTCTCTCTCACACACACACACACACACACAAATTCTAATTTCTAATAACAAAAAATTGCACTCGACTGATTTTTATGTCACTGGATGAACATTAGTTGATGGTAACTTAGTGGTAAATAAAATCATCACTTTTAAACAAGTTCATGGTCAGCACAGGTATGGATGGTATTTAGTTCCTAAATGCAAGAGGTAATTCGTTTAGAGTGTGTGATGAAGCATTTGTTGATATTTAGCAATTTCTAGAGCCAACAAAGAAACAGTACATTTTTAACCATTTACAATGATCCACTCTTATATGAACCCATGAAGATACGGGTTAGAATTGATCTTCAGTAACCCATGCTTGTCGTAAGAGGCGACTAACAGGATCTGGTGGTCAGGTTTGCTGACTTGGTTGACACGTCATCTTATCCCAATTGGGTAGATCGATGCTCATGCTGTTGATCACTGGGTTGTCTTGTACAGACTCGATTATTCAGAGACCGCTGCCATATAGCTGGAATAGTGCTGAGTGTGGCTTAAAACTTAACTCACCTACTCAGTCTTATATGTACCCTGAAATGAAAACATTGCTGATGCCTGGATTTGTACCAAAGTAGGTAAAATATCATATTTTTTCACATGTATTGTCCTAACAGACTCATTGCCAGATGCAAAAGAAGGAGAAACCCATGACAAAAAGGTTATTACAATTTGAGACACTTTTAAGAAATATTATAATGGTAAGCATTGCTTTATGCTAAAGGAACATGTTTGCACTTGGTGATAAATAATTTTACTTTTCAGGAAGGGGAGAACAGACTCCAAACAAGAGTAGATGTGATGACACCAAGAAAGGTATTAGCTGATGGGTATAGTATATGGTACTAATAAACTCAAGATGAATCATAATTTGGTATGCAAATGCTAAGATGAGGGATACTAGAAGGTACAAACTTAACCAAACCTGCAGAGGTTTTCAATTCTTTGAAGAGAGTCGTCCTTGGGGTACATATTATGCATTTTCCGGCTGAAAAATGTCCTGTGACAGTTGTATCAATGTTTTTTGAATAAAAAGATTGTACAATAAATAAACTCTTTTATTTATTATACGGACCCTACCTCACGGAGTTACCTCCCTTAGCGCATGCGCACCAACTGGGTAGGCTCCTAGACCCGTATCATCATTCCTTCTGCTGAATTCTTATCAGTGAACAGAATTGCGGGGAGGCGGAAGGCCCTACCCCAAGGACGACTCTCTTCAAAGAATTGAAAACCTCTGCAGGTTTGGTTAATTCTTTTTCAGAGAGATCGTCCTTGGGGTACATATTATGCATAAACACAGACTCCCAAAGACCGGAGGCCAGGGAGGAGGGAATTCTGTCCAAGCACACTCAAAATATAGCGATCGTATCATGGAAAAAAATTGAACAGACGCCATAACACTCACCTGTCACTCGACCCAGTTTCGCTTCCGCGAGAGGCATTATGGGAGGGGAACTGACAGGGAGGATTTGTGCTCAAAGACGACCTCTAGCATAATGAGACATTGCACGTAGTGCGAATATCAACGAAATCCGACCCACTAAGTGGCTTCTTTCATGAGAGCACCGTAGGGGGAAAACAAAAATACCACTCACTAACGATACAGTAACTCCGTAGAGAATCGAAAGGGGGTACAGGTTCTCTGAGTGAGCTCACATTAGCAGACATGTCAATAATGGAATCTTATTGTACAGTAGCGTCAAAACAAACCAATAAACCAAGACTCACTCGGTCAGGGTGGCAGGACACTGTCCACTGGAGAGAACAGTACGGCCAAAGTTTGCACGATTACGGGAATGCGTATCGAGCTGATAATGGCGTATAAACGTGCTTGGCCGGCTCCAAATAGCGGCGGAGCAGATCTCTTCAATGGGGAGTGCCGATGCAAAAGCTTTTGATGCGGCTACTGCCCTGACCGAGTGAGCCTTCAACCCCTCAGGGGGAGGCTTGCCCTTAGCCTGATAAGCGGCACAAATACACGATACTAGCCAGCGAGACAAAGTCTGCTTGCTCGCTGGCAGACCAGCCTTCCCGCCACCGTAACAACAGAACAGCTGGGTACCCGTACGGATCCCCTGCGTTCGTTTGAGATAGACTTTGAGCGTCTTACGGACATCCAACGGGTGAGTGCTCGTAGGAGTGGTCCCCGATGTGGAAGGCTGGGTAAGAGTAGGAAGTTCGATAGGAGCTGTCACATGGAAAGCGTGATCGACCTTCGGTCGGTAAGTATCTGGGAGGCGAATACTGACACGATCCGTGTGAAACACAGTCAGCGCCGGGTCGGACGACATAGCATGTAAATCGCCGACCCTTCGACCAGATGTTACCGCCACCAGAAAAACAGCTTTCCAGGTCAACAACTGAATGGAAATAGCCGATAGGTGTGAGAAAGTGGGACCGGACAGCCAATCGAAAGCACGATCGACAAATCCCAAAAGGTGGACTGGTTCGCCTGAGAGCAGGTCGAATCCGTTCCGCGCCAGCGAAAGCTGGCCACGAGAGGTGCTGCCCCAGAAGAGCACCATCGACAGGGGTGTGAAAAGTGGAAATAGCGGTGGAGTAGCCGCGAATGGTCGAAGCCGCCAGGCCTTCTTCCAAACGAGCTTGCAAAACTCAATACTCGGACTAAATCCGCAGAAAAGGGATCTGCAATCCCCTTATCTGAACACCAGCGCGCATAGCGGGACCACCTATCCTCGTACTGAACGTTTGTTTAATCCCAGCCACCGAAGCCAGAATTGTGTCTGCAACTGCTGCAGGAATTCGCGGCGGCCTCGAGGGTTAGACCTGACAGAGGCTGCCACCCACTGAATCCGTGGATTTGGGTGGGGCGCCCGTTCTGAGTGAGAATGTCCGGTCGCAAAGGTAATAGAACAGGAGGCTGAGCCAGAAACCTGAGAATTACCGGAAACCAGCTCTGTGACGGCCAAAGCGGTGCCAGTAGCACAAGTAGCCGAGCTGGCTGGTCGGACAGCTGTGAAAAGGACACGGGGAATGAGTGGTAATGGCGGGAACGCCCAGAGCACTTTGCCCGTCCCAATCCAGCAGGAAGGCGTCGGCAGCCAACGCCCCTGGGTCCGGTATCCGAGCAGAACACGGGTGTCTGATGCGCCCGCCCGGACGCAAACAGATCCACCTCGAACGACCCGTACAACTGGGAGATTACTGTGAATATCTGCCTGTCGAGCATCCACTTCGTGCGGGGCCAGGATCCGTCAAGAGAGCGTCTGCTCGCACGTTCTCCAGCCCGGGAGATAAACAGGGAGTACCTGACAATCGCACTGAGTGGCCCAGAGGAGAAAGTCCCACGCTTCCGGAGGAGCGCTGGGGACACCGTGCCTCCCCTGCTTCAGGATGTACGACATGGCCGTCTGGTTGTCTAACTGAAGGCGGACTACCTGGCCACGCGGACATGCTCTCTGGAAGCGCCGAATACCAACCGCACAGCTCTCAGTTCCAACACGTTGATGTGAAGGTGAGCCGACTTCGACCAGAGTCCGAAGCCGACAGACTGCCCAGAACGCCCCCAGCCCGTGAGGGACGCATCTGTCTGAACTGTGAGAGCTGGCGTCCGGGATTTCCAAGGGAACCCCCTGGTGAGATTCCGACATTTGTCCACCACTGAAGGTGAGGTGTCAACCACTCGGGGACTGTGAGACCGCGCTCCAGATCCTCCGTGTGAGTCCACAGCCGAGCCAAAAGCTTGCTGTATGGGACGCATCCTCAACGCGCCCGCCACACTACAGAGATCGTCGCCGCATATATGGCCCAGTAGACGGAGCCAAGTCCGTGCTGGTGCCTGGGGCTGGGAGAGGAATGAAGAGACCATCTCCCGAACTCTGGTGACCTGGTCGGGCGACAAGGAAACGAGATCCTTGTTCGTTTGGAATCGCTCCCAAGAAAACCAAGTCCTGGGTGGGTACCAGGTCGGGATTTCTTGAGGTTGATGATCCACCCCAGTCGAGTTAGAATGTCTATCACCGTGTGAGTAGCATCTTGACTTCGCTGGCTGTGTTAGTGCTCCGAGCAACCAGTCGTCTAGGTAAGGGTAACAACGCCTTCCTTGCGAGCCGAGCTAGGTAGCTGGGACTAACATGAGCTTGGTGAACACCCTTGGGGCAGTCGATATGCGAAGGGGAGCACCCTGAATTGGTAATACATCCCGTCGTAAGAGAACCGAAGGTACTGCTTGAACGATGGATGTATGGGTACATGCAGATCTCACAGCATCCTTTAGGTCGATTGACGTGAGCCAATCGCCGGGCTGAACAGATGAGATCACCGGCGCGCAGTGTCTCCATCTTGAAGGATGGTACCGAGCATCGCGATTCAACCCCTTGAGGTTGAGAATCGGGCGGAACCGCCGTCTTTCTTCGGGGCGAGTGAAGTACGTGGAATAAAATCCCCCTGTTCCTCTCCGGTGGAATCGCGCCGATTAGGGACTTGTCCAGCAGAGCCTGAACCGTCGCGCAATATGTCCGCCCTGGCTTGACATGACGGCACCGTCGCGCACGTGCGCCGTGAAGTCGAGCGGACCGCCCACAGTGGGAGATGGCCTATGCTGACCGTGGCCAGCACCCGCCGTTGTTGGTAGCCTTCTCCCATTCCGGCAGGAATAGAGAGAGGCTGACCTCCACTGGGATATGGGGTAGGAGCGCGTGTGTAGACCCGAGTAGCGGAGCTGACTGGGCGTGACACACGGCTTGAGCGGCAGCCTGATGGGTTAACGGGAGGTCGGGGCAGACCTCCCGCGCCCGCGAAAAGGCTGGGAGCTAGTCGAGGACTGCTCCTTGCCCCTACCCTTGGCGGACCTGTTCCTCCGCCTACCCCTACCAAGCGGCCGAAGCCAGCCGGCAGACTCGGGTGTAGGCTGCACCCCGGCGGAGGAAGGTGGCACGGGAGCGCGGGGGCGAGACACCCGCGGGTGCTCCAACAAGGCCTTAGAGTCCTTGAAGGAGGTAGCTGCAGCGGCAGCCTCCCGTATGACCTGCTGGGCCCCTGGAAAGAGGGTCGCTCCCAGACGGAAAGGGAGGGCCAGCAAGGTCTGCTGTGTTGCTGCCGAGTACCTAGACGTCGACAGCCACAGCCGGCGCATCCCCATGACTGCGCACATCACCGTCGACGCAGCAGACCGCAAAGAGTCGCGCGCGAGGTGAGCCTGCACTTCCGAAAGCTGACGGAGCAGCACGACATGCGGCGACACGTCGCCAGCATGCCCCTCCGCCTCCAGGGCCGACCTCTGAACCGAGGAGAGGTAGGCCTCATGGACCACCACCCGCACCTGCTGCATCGCGTTCCGGTAGACCTCCTCGTAGGTCCGGTACGCGTGCCGCAGGGGGGCGCCCGCGAGGGCAAAAGGTGGAGTTAGGCGCCCTTGCCGAGCAGCCGGAGCTGCTCCGGAGGAAGCCGAGCCTCCCCCCAGGGCGACGGAAGTGAAAACACATTCGTCAACAATTGGTACAACGAACAGGGAATCCTCCCCAAGCTGGTAGCGCCGCACGAGTTCAGGTAAGTCAAACCTTACTCGGGCACCAGACAAGAGGGGATCGACCACGTCCGAGACCAACGATGGCAGAATGCGGAGCTGCGTCTGTGAGGGTTGCCTAGGGGCAAACGCCTCGCCAGGCAAGCGGAACTCAGTCGAGTCCACGCAACCAGCAGGCACCGCGGCCTGGGGTAGGCCCTCGGCAATTCTCTGCCGGACCTCCCGCAAGGCCGAAGCAAAACGGAAGCCGCCGTCAGGCTCCTCGACCTCCCCAAGCTCCATTGCCTCGGCGTCCGAGCCCGAGTCAGAGGCTGGGTCTCCTCCGTAAG